ACAGAGGGCTAATCTCCAAAATTTACAAAGAACTCAAGAAACAAGTCTCCAAAACACCAAAGGATCCACTTGAAAGGTGGGGTACAGAACTAAATAGAGAATTCTCAATAGAGGAGGCTAAAATGGCCAAGAGACACTTAAGAAAGTGCTCAACATCCTTAGCCATCAGGGAAATGCAAATGAAAACAACTCTGAGATACCATCTTACTCCTGTCAGAATGGCTAAAATCAAAAACACCGAAGACAATTTATGCTGGAGAGGATGTGGAGAGAGAGGAACACTCCTCCACTGCTGGTGGGAATGCTGACTCATACAGCCTCTTTGGAAATCAGTATGGAAATTCCTCAGGAAAATGGGAATTAATCTACCACTAGACCCAGCAATTCCACTCTTAGGCATTTATCCAAATGAGGCAGGTTCATACAACAAGGGCATCTGCTCCACTATGTTCATAGCAGCATTGTTTGTAATAGCCAGAACCTGGAAGCAACCTAGATGCCCCTCAACTGAAGAGTGGATAGAGAAAATGTGGTACATTTACACAATGGAGTATTACTCAGCAGAAAAAAACAATGGAATCTTGAAATTCGCAGGGAAATGGATAGCACTGGAAGAAACCATCCTGAGTGAGGTAACCCAGTCGCAAAAAGACAAACATGGTATGTACTCACTCATATATGGATTTTAGATATGGATCAGGATAGTGCCAGTCTGCACTTCCACAGATAGAGCGTCTGGGAAACAGGAAAGAACCTAAAAGATATGCATATATGCATAGTACCCAAGAGAAGAGGATGGAGACAAGATCCTCTGAATGGATGGGGAACACGGCGAGGGGTGGGGGGGAGTGGGACCTGGGAAGAATAGAGGGGGTAAAGAGGAAGGGAGTTGGTCATGGGGGAAAAGGAAGTTGAGGGGGTGGGGGTAGAATAGGGGGAAGAGGGAATCATAGGATCGAAGACAGATCAGGCACCAGAGTGACCTCGAGTGATCTAAAGGGATAACACCAATTGGCAAGCTAAGCAATAGTGGAGGGACCACCTCGAATGCCCATTCCTGATAATGAACTTGCTGTCTATAACCATCCGGGAGCCTTCATCCAGTGACTGATGGAAGCAGAGGCAAACACACAGTTAATCACTGAACTGAACCCAAGGAACCCAGTGACAGAGAGAGAGGAGTGATGAGCAAATTGGCAAAGAATGGGCTGGCAAAACCAGCAGAGACAGCTGATCTGAACAGGGGAGAGCTCTTGGACCCAGACCGACAGTGGGGAGGCCAGCATGGGACTGATGTGGACCCCCCGAATGTGAGTGTCAGTGAGAAGGCCTGGACAACCTATGGGGCCCTGAGCTGTGGATCAGTGTCTATCCCTGGTATACAAACTGTCTTCATGTGCCTATAGCACAAAGAGAGATGCTCTCTCAGCCTGGACTCTTAGGGGAGTGCCTGGACCCTACCAAGAGTGAAATGACAGACTCTAGATATCCCCTATGTGGAAGAATTTGGCAATAGGGTGGGAGGGAGGGGGGAAGGGGAGTGCGGGAAGAGGGGAGGGAGAGAGAACTGGGATTGACATGTAAAACAAGCTATTTAAAATTAAAATAAAAATGATAAAAAAAGAATTGCAAACAATTTTCATTTATACCTTTTTGTTTTCTTGAGATAGACTACGCTGTGCTGGTGTAAAATTCCCTATGTTTTCTTGAGATAGACTACGCTGTGCTGGTGTAAAATTCCCTGTGTTCTAGACTAATTTGAACTCACATCGATAAACATGCCTCTGCTTCATGGGTGCTTGAATTAAGGGTGTTGGCTATTATGGCCAAGTGTGTTCTGGAATAAATACAAGATTATTTAAAGTAATTTAATTTATTGAAAGAATTTTGGCATATTAATCTCCAAATAAAAATCATTTTATTATTTGAATAATAATTCTGCATGGTGTATATTGTTTATGCTTTTTCTATTGCTCTTATATTTAAACTTTGGTTACATTTGATCATGACCTGAAAATAACATAGAAGTGTATTAGCAAAAGATCCAGGAGTTGTGAAACAGTCAGATCAAATAGCTAACTTTGACTGATTATTGAGCCAAATACTATCTCTATCACATTGCTATCTCAGCATAAAGCCATTATTACTTTTTATTTCAAAAGATTTCATTGACTTTGTTACCCAACAACCCATTTTCTGTAAGCATAGCTGGTTCTACCAGGTATTTATTCAAAATAATGCTGTCTAAAATCCACTATATTATATTTGTTTATTCAAATTGTTGATTGAAATCTTACATTTTAAATAAGGTACATATTATAAAATAAGCGAAGTAAAGTGAAATAAAACGCTCACCATACCTTTCTGTCCATATGCAGTAGGAATACATTTCAAGACTCCCAATGCATGTTTGAAATTGTGGATACTACCAAAACCTATAAATTGGTGCATTTCCCACCTTAACCAAGCACTTCTCATTCATTATTGTGGCAAGTTTTGCTGCATGCACTGTGATAGGAAAACTACCTATCAGAGTTTCATAGACATAACATTTATTTTCATAGTAAACCTTAGCAACATTACAATATGATTTTTACAACTTTTCAGGACAAATTTCAGATTTCTTACTGATCAGAGACAAGTTGCAGTTTCCCCTTGGCATGTCTGAATCACCAGCAACAATTCTCTCATGTGTTAGGGTCATTAATAATTAAAATAGGGGTGTTAAAGCACAAGTACTAGGATCTCACAACACATCTGATACTGAGGAGGGGTAAGTAAATGAACGATGGGTGGCATAGATATGGACACTACATAGATACACTTGACTAAGCTATGGTTGACATTCCAGTAGGGTGAAATAAGTTGGTGTAAAATTTCATCATACCACTTCTGATGCTGAACAATTTAGAATTTATTAACTCTTTCTGCCGTTCTCTATTTAATGTTCTTTTGGAATACAGTTAACTACAAGATACTAAATGTAAGAAAAATGAAATTTTAAATAAAGTTAAAGTCATTCTGTGAATATATTGTGTTCTGAAGGTAAATTTTACCTGATGTTAAAAAGCTATCAAAATGGAGAGTAACCAGACAATTTCTTCTTGCTAACAAGTAGACATGATATTAGTTCATTATACAACACTGCTAAATGAAATTGTTCATTCATATACATACTGCTCATATGTTAAATAGCATGATATTTAGTATACTTGAGATCAATTCACAAGTTCATTATTTTTATTTGATTTCAGTCACTCTGTCTACATACAAACTATGTACATATTCAGTAATGTTAATTTAGTACCTACTTTATATTAATATTTAGTATTGTAATACTATTTATGACATAATTGTTTAAAATTTAAAAGAGCTCTTGTTGAAATATATAATGAAATATATAACTTTAGAGAAAAAGTTGTACACATCTATTCTGCCAAAATTATAGTTATTTCTGATATTTATATACATTTTATTATAGTTTCAGAAGTTATAATTTAAAATAGCCAGAGAAAGTTGCATTAAATCATGGAGATAAATAAAAGCCATATTTTTGAAGACATAATGAGAACATCATCCATCATTGTACAGAAATCCCATTTGGTTTTTATGTGATTACTATTCATGGCTGATCAATCAACAAACCAAAAGCTCAGTGCAAGGTAAACCAAAAAACTGATAATGAAAGTATTAAAATTATTTTACCTGTTGTAAAGAGTAGCTAAGACAGGTGAGTTGGGGCTTATACTATCCAACAATTGCTTCTTTACTTTTTTCTCACTCCGATTTTAGGTTGCTAGCATAGTAGCACTATATCATAGTTGTCCCTCACAATGTTTGTCCTGTAGACACCAAAGTCTGTCATGCTGAAATTATAAACAGCTATCTATCTATCTATCTATCTATCTATCTATCTATCTATCTGTACATCTATCTATCTACAACAAAGGAATTGTAATTTGATCAATAAAAGAAAATGTACATTGTAATATTATTAATTTTATTGGCCACTAAACCTATAAAATCCTACAGAGACAGTAAAATGTGTGACAAACACAAATACTTCTCTGCGACAGATACAATGAACTTGAATTACAGTTCACTTATGTAAATTTACCTTGTCACAACAACATCCAACTGCACGTTAGGACATCCATTTATAAAGATTAATGACACTTGACTTTTACCTTAATTGTGAGTTTTACCTATTTTTTATCTTTCTTCCTTAAACTCTTTCCCCAAGGTTGAGAATAGTATATGTATATAACTACATTAGAATACACTCATAAGTTGCTTATGTAGAAAACCACATTAGAATATGGTCAATAGCATTTAAAACTCTAGTTTACATTGTCTGAACAGGGAATTTTGGCAAATGGTATTACTGCAATCTCATGACATAGATTGTCCTTCCCACACCATAGAGCCTGCAATTGCTCTATAGATGCACAGAGCTTGTCTATTCTCTGTGATTTCGGTGCCAAGGTTAAGAACCTGTGTTTTCATCAGCTGTCCACCAAAACTCACTATCAGCTCACGGTAAATGAAGTAATGCATCCCTTCCTAAGCCACCCATTTCCCTGCAGGTCCTCCTGTATATTCAATGGTGCTCGAATTGTATTTCCTTATGCATTATTCTTGTCCATAAAACTGACTTACACTTAATATTTAACAAAATATGTGAGGTAGTTTTACTGTCCACTTGGAAGCAATGTGTGGATGAATTTCTGAGACTATAGCAAGTGTGTTGTCGTGTGATCATCCTAGCAGTAATGCTTGTTCAGCTATCAACTTGAAGGACATAAGCCAAAATACATCAAGGTATGAGGTATATCTCTACATAATAATCAAGACCCCAAAGATACGGAATAAAGAAAGACTATTAAGAGCAGCTAAGGAAAAGGGCCATGAAACATATAAAGGCAAACCCATCAGAAGAGCATGAAAAGGTAGAAAGCGCAAGAGGGGGAATGGAGCTATGGGCAGCATGTCCTCTATACCTTGAGGCAGCGACTGGACTGGAAGGGCTGCTTGGCCTGGTGGGATGGAGATGAGGCCTTGACGCTGAAGGCTGAGCAGGTGTTGCTGCTGCTGCAGTTGCTGCATTTGGAGAAGCTGCTGCTGGAAGACAAGCTGCTGGGCGGCCAACTGCTGCTGCTGCTGCTGCTGCTGCTGTTGCTGCTGTGGGTATGAGAAAACCCGACCCCATCAACAGCAGAGAACAAGGTACGCACCAGCTGCTCTCATACACAGAGACGCATGCACCTGTCCTTGCCCAGATGTGACCTTGATCCTCCCAGAGTCAAAGTTCAGAAGCAGGATGTGAGCAGCTTCCAGGTATTCAGCTGCCTGCTTCTTGGAAGGTAAACAGCATCACGGAACCAAGGAACTTGCACTAACGGTACTGAGCAAGGTTTAGAGACAGAATCTAAGATTCGGATACTTAGAAACCAGTTCATCACAGATGACTAGTAGTTTATTTAGACAAAAGGAATGACTTTATGGAAATGATCAACTTCCACAATACTGTCACTTTTGCCCAACTTAATAAGTTTGCTGTGTGGATGTCCACAGATGTGGTCTCTAGCAATCTACTAGTAGATTTGGATGGAATTACAGGTACAGGATAGGCATATCAGCGCTCTCTCTCTCTCTCTCTCTCTCTCTCTCTCTCTCTCTCTCTCTCTGTCTCTCCCTTTGTCTCTCTGTTTTTGTCTCTATCTGTCTCTGTCTCTCTCTCTCATCCTGTTTCCTTTTTTGAATACATTAAAGGAGGAATTATGTGCAAGACAAAAAAAAAAAAAAGAAGAAGCACCCTTATTATAAAGAAAAGTCTAACTTCCAGTTTTACGAGGCATTATAAGACAAACCAGAGTTCTTTGGACTCCGGAGGGTAGGAGATGGCAGTCACACTTCAGAGGAAGACAAGCTGTGTGCAAGACCTTTCCTTTTTAGTTTGGGGAAAAGAGAAACTTCTGATGCGCTCACTGGAAAACAGACTGCATAATGGAGCAAGTCATGTGGATTGCCCAAAGCCTCTGAGAAATAAGGGAGCAATTTCTATTCTGTAGTTGATGGCTGTCTGAAATTCTATTCACAAATCCAAACAGAAACAAAACCTCAGGAGGTCAAAACTGTTTCCTGTACGTTTGCATAATGGGCAGCTTGAAGACAACAGCCCTGATACCTGCTGATCAATTTAACTACTTCAACATGTTTTGTTTGTATTATGTTTATATTTGATGCAGTTTGCTGACAAGTGCAAGCTAGGCCTGAGAAGCCAGCTTGTCAGTTTGATTTATGAGCATATCAAACGGCAACTTTCTGCTCGCCACTCCAAACCTACCCTAGCAGTTCATTAATCAGGGGTCTGTGACTTTGAAATCTGTGCTCAACCAGTTTTCTCTCGGTCTCCCTGCCCCCAACCATGGGCTAAATTTGCATGCAGGTTCTCTGAGCTGCACCACTGAGAAAAATAAGGTCCCTCCCCTCACCAACTTGGATTCTCAGTGAATACAAGATAATCAGTACTTTGTCCACCCCACAGCTCGCCCTTTGTGCGCTGTGGTTCGTTAGTGAACATTAGACGACAACCAACAATGGGTTGTGACTCTCAAGTCCCCTGCTGCAAGAAAGGAGAGCACTAGAGTCTCACTGTTGTTAAGCTCAGTAAAAATACAGAGCGCTGCATCTTTGACAGCAAGAGCCTTGTTATTGGGAGATCTGAGACGATCCTTGCCTCTCAACCCCATGCTCTCAAGCATCAACGAGACAACTAGATCCTACCTCTTTCGCTTGCTTTCCAGGATGCTGCTGCTGTTGCTGCTGCTGCTGCTGCTGCTGTTGCTGCTGCTGCTGCTGCTGTTGCTGTTGCTGCTGCTGCTGCTGTTGCTGCTGCTGCTGTTGCTGCTGCTGCAAAAGCTGAAGATGTAACTGTTCTTGCTGTTTCTTGTAAAACTCTTGTAGTTGTTGCTGAATAAACCATTTTGACTTTAATAAATAAAGGCAAAAGTTTCATGTATTACAAATGTCCTAAACTCTTCTAGCCTGACACATGGTAGAGTAGCCATTAAGATTTACCCCACCCAACCCCACCCCAAAATTGCATTGGATTTAAAGAGACAGCTCTACATACTTTTTTTCCCAAGGCAGCTCTGAAAATTTCCAATCCAGAATCCAAACAATCCTAAACAAAAGGGTATAAAAAATCTGTATTCTAAAGGCCAGAACCAAAGCGAATACTCTAAATGACTATATCTGAAGTCCTATGATCACTTAAGAACAGGCTGTGCTCCTCCCCTTAGAAGGACCAAGCATAAATGCCACCAAAGTAGGGTGAAAACGGTTTAATCTATCAGAAGTTTAAACACAATATCATGCTAGGAATCTATGGAACTTGTAGGCACAATCAGAAGTGATAGCAAAGTAACTAAGACTTCTGGCATAACACATTTTCTTTATTATGGGAAGCAAGTATAGCACTCTGAATCTATTGATACATAGTCAAGCCTTCAATATGCTTCACAGTAGACTCATTGTATTTTCACAAAGACATCAAGAACCTGCTCTTTATCCATCTAATTTTATTCTAATAAGCAGATTCCTCTTATCCTAAGTAATGACTATACCATGGAAAAGAAAGCTTGGAGTGCTGCTTTTTGGCATGTGCTCTCTGAAAAGTGGCCTTTTTCCTCTTTATTGGAACTTAAGGGGATGCTAAAGTATTGGGTATTTAAAAAACAACAACTCTGTTGTATCTTGGTATACTCCTTGGCAATTCTAGTAGTAAACATACCCAAGAACCTGAATAATCAAATACTGATTCTTCTGTTTTCAACCTCATTCTCTCTCTGCTCTTGTTCTAGACTTGAGTGCTTTCAAAGGGACTGGGTGACTTAAATGCTCTTCTGTAGCTCTGCAATTCTAGTGTGACACTTCTGTTCTAACACACTCCTAAGTTCCTTCTGTAAGTGGAGAACACTATCCAATTAGCCCACTGCACTGCCGGCAGAGTGTGGACCCTTGAGAGCGCCGCCAGAGCAGGTAACATACATTACCTGCTGGAGCATCACTGCCTGCTGCTGCTGGAGGAGGGCTTGGAGCTGCTGAGGAGACAGGACCTGCTGCTGAAGAATCTGCTGCATCTGCTGAGGGGTTATCACCTGGGGCGTCATCATGGCCACTGACACAGGCACCTTGCATGGAGAAACAGAGAGAGAGAGAGGGAGGAGAGAGAGAGAGAGAGAGAGAGAGAGAGAGAGAGAGAGAGAGGAGAGCTGTCAGAATCCAGTGCTTGCTGAGCTTTGCACAACTGTGTGACATTGTTTTTGAAGTTATTTAGCACCAACAACCCAAAAGCATATGCCTTTGTATTATTTTAAAAATAGTTTTCAAGAGGCAGCAGGTTTCACCAGGCTCCCACTTCAAGTTTGGTATTTCAAATGTACTTGCACAAAGGAGTTGGAACTTGAAGTAATACAGCAGAAAATAAATAATTTCATGGCAACATTCTCAGAAGCTCATCACTGAGCATCTTTTAAGTGTCTCATTGCTGTAACTGAAGCCCTTTCAAATCTTTTAAGCATATCTTTAAAACAAAAGTGAAACAATGAAAATTAGGCTTACAAATAACTGATATTTACAATTGTACAAAGCATATACATAGAATATACTTATATAACATAATAACCATTCAAAATTATATGCACGTTTATACTACTTAAAAATATATATACTGAGTGAATTGCTGAGTAGGTAAAGTTTCTAGTCTCCCAGCCCAACTACTAGAGTTTGTTCAGAACCCAAATAATAGAAAAAAAGAACCAACTCCCACAAGTTGTCCTCTGACCTACCCATCTGTGCCATCACACACACACACACACGTTAAATAAATGTAAATTAAATGAATACAAATTTCACATATCAACAGATACAAATATATAAGTATGTGTAGTAACTTATTTAGGAGTTTTTTGGATATGTATGAATATGGATGAAAATACCTGAGAAGACTAGTTCACTAAAAGAATATTAATACTGACAATCTATTTTCTTCTTTAAATATTTTCTTATTACAAGCAGCTAAAGTTATACTAGAAAGTCCAGATATCTAAAGGTTACTAAAAGATTTTCATTAGATTTATAAGAAAACAAACACATTAAAAATTTTGTATGTATTTAAAAGTTCTTAACGTTTTATATACCAGAGTTCCTCTCCCTTCCCTCCTCCTATCCCGCTCACCTTCCCCCCACTGAAGTGCCCATCCACTTCTTAGGAAGGGTAAAGCCTCCCATGAGGAGTCAACAAAGTCTGGGATATCAAGTTGAGGAAGGACCAAGCCTTTCTGCCCGGTATCTAGACTGAGCAAGGTATCCCTACATAGGGAATAGGCTCCAAAAAGTCAGTTCATGCACTAGGGATAAATCCTGGTCCCACTGACAGTGGTCCCAATAGTTAGTCCAGCGTCAGTGAGCTCCCTCTAGCTTGGGTCAGTTATCTTTGTTGGTTTCCCCATCACAATCTTGACCCCTTTGCTCATATAATCCCTCCTCTCTCATTTTGACTGGACTCCAGGAGTTCTATGCTGTGGATTTCTTCCTCATGACCCAGCAATACCAATCTTGGGAATGTACCCAAAGGATTCACATTCATGCCACCAAGACATTGGCTCAACTATGTACATAGCAGCATTATTCATAATAGCCAGAACCTGGAAACAACTTAGACGCTCCTCACCCGAAGAATGGATAAAGAAAATGTGGTACATTCACACAATGGAGTATTATTCAGAGGTAAAAAAAAAAACAATGACAACTTGAAATTTGCAGGCAAAAGGATGGAACTAGAAAAAAATAACTAAGCAAAAATAAAACATCCTGAGTGAGGTAAGCCAGACTCAGAAAGACAAACTTGGTATGTATTTACTCACAAGTAGGTATTAGAAAACATTTTGTTTGAACTTTCTTCTCCTTTCCTTTTTTTTTCTAAAAGTTTCTTAGGATAAAGGAGGTAAGGTGTTATATGGAAGGCAGAGAAAGAGAGTTGGGGAGAGAAGGAAGAGAAGAAAATAGATTATAAGGAAAAGCATTGGGGAGAACATTTGAGAGAAAGAAAATATTTCCGGAGTAAAAGGAGTGGGACAGCAGAGAAACTCAGGAAAAGCTGGGACTCAGAGCTGCATGCTCACTGCAGTGACTGTTGCTCTACCAAGTCCTTACTCTGCCCCAGTCAGCATACCATCAAATTACCTGACCACTGGTCAAGCCTGCAACCTTTGAGAAAACGTTCACATTGTCTCCCAGCAAGACAAACAACCAAATAAATACACTTTTATTGTAAAGAAAAACTAGAATTTTTATAAAAAAATCACTTCAGAACATGTTTATGGGGCAACCTGTCTTGGAAAACAGAAAAAGACTAACAGGCACAGTTCGCAAGTTATTCTAATGGTAGTTTTTAATGTGCTTCAAGCTTTTCTACCACTTGAAAATCAAAAATGAGAGATATTTAACGAAAAAGTTAAGTGGAAATAAAGGGGAAGAAAAGATTCCGGGTTGAATCTACAAAACAAACAAAAATATATTTTTAACAATAAAAAATAACCGTCTCTCTCATTTATCCATTATTGTATGAAATGCAGAAGAACTGATTTAATTTTGTAATATGTGAGAAAAGCAATGGCCCAAAATAATTCAGTGATTTTAAAAATATTTCTGAATTAAAACTCTATGTGTGCATACATATGGATTATTGATTGTCATTTTTCAAAGTTAAGTACAGCCTGAATGAGTGCAGTTGATTGGAGACTAAGAAAGGAAGATCAGGCGCTCCAAACCATAACCAGACCCTGCCTCTATAAAAAAGAGCAACAAACTGCATGATGTGTTTCTGAGTGCTTGGTTATTTAAAGTTAAAAAAGCTGTCAGTTTAATTACTTGTTCCTTTTTGCTGCTGTTTTGTTTTGTTTTGTTTTTCAACACAGGGTTGCTCCATGTAGCTTTGGGACCTGTTCTGGAACTTGCTTTGTACACCAGGCTGGCTTTGAATTTAGAGATTTCTGCCTGCCTCTGCCTCCAAGTGCTGGGATTAAAGGTGTGTATCACCACTGCCTTGCTTCACTTATTCCTTTTTAAAAATATATATATATATATGTCCTGCAATATCATTCACCTTATAGACTCTTCCAGAGATGGGGAAATTAGCAACTCAGGGGCAGAGAAAGACATGGTACAGATTCATTTCAGGAGTGCCAGTGTAGATATATTATATGGAAGACAACAAAAGAGAGAAGGAAAACAAAGCAGGAAGGAGGAAGGAAGGAAGGAAGGAAGGAAGGAAGGAAGGAAGGAAGGAGGGAGAATATTGTTATCGGTATGGAACACATGTCTACTCACAGCTATTTTTGTATAAATATGCACATCCCATGAAGGTGACCATTTCTTTCTTTTTTTCTTATAAAATTTTTTAAAATGAGAAACAATCTTATTTTACACATCAATCCCAGTTCCTTCTCCCTCCTATCCACCCGTGTCACCCGCATCCCATCCCTCATCCACTCCACATGGCAGATTGGGGGGGGGTCATCAAAGTTTATCACAAGTTGACCATCTTATGACACCCTTGACTGTCTTTCTTTCCTGACAGTCCTTCGTTACTGTTCAGTATCTTTTTTCATTTTCATGTCTATCTTTCCAAGGAAAAGTACTTTGTGTGTGCCATGCTCACAAATGAACTATCTAGGACAATTTTACAAATGGAGATATGCTACAGTGTTCCAAAACTTATAGGTTCCTGCTGCTACATGGCATAGGTCTTGGTAGTTCCATGCTGTTATGACTGACTTAGTATTTAGTCAAAGTACACTGTCTGCTGTCTCTACAATTCCAAATCTTATTAGTCAGTCCTCTATGCAGAAAAATGAAATTTAATCTTCACGCCTCTAATGATTTGGGAGTACCTTTTAGATGGCTATGACACAAATGTATCTGCCACATCATAACTATGCTGAAGTTATACAAGCATAACTCATATACATATGATTTGTTTACATTTTAATCAGACTCTGACCTTCTCTGAAAAACTACCATCTAAAACAGATAAAAAATATTAAACGTTTATGTCAACTAACATACAACTAATTGAAATTTCTACTTTCCTGAATATGTACAAAATACATCACAAAGTTCATAACAGAGGTAGGAAAACATATCTGAAGGATTTCTAATATTTAACGAAAGCTGATACTATCATCTAAATCCAAACCACACACACACACACACAGAAACCAACCAACCAGCTAAGCAACAAACAAAAAATTGTGACTATTTTACTTTATATTTGTACTTCTTAGTATCCTTATGCAATATATATATAATTTTCAAAATTCAAAATGTCTCCATTTCTATGATTAAAGTGACACAGTTTTTGTCTTATTATGTTCAGTTACTATAGAATTATGTATTTTGCCAAAAGAAGCTACCTAGGAATTCACTGAAACAAAAGAAGAGTGATTCCTTGAGTGTGTGTAAAAATCTTGCTTCTATACTATTCATTAACATTCAGGAAAAAGTAGTATCAGACAGAAAAGTTCTGGATTCACACATAGCTATGGCTAATGCTTGAGGAATTTTCCAGATTTGTTAAATTGACCACCATATTTTCTAGTAGCTATAAAAGTTTATGTGAGCAAACATACAAATGACTAGTATCTAGATGTGTGGTAGAGATGACAAGGGAGTTCTTAGACACTTTGTGACAAAGAAGCAAAACAAAGTCTGATTGGCATACTTCTGTAGGCATTCCAGTAAATACTGATGTTATTACTCTGTAAGAGTAAAGGAAAGTAAACAGCCCACATATCTGGGGAGATTTCTCTTTTTCTCTCAACTTGTGCTTATTATATTGGCAGGTCTAAAACCTATAGTGACATACCAAACATGGAGTCCTATTTATCTTTATTTTGTCATCAGATAATTTAAGCAAAATCTTAATTCTTTGATCTGCATACCATTAAGTACTAGATAACTGGAAACCAAGATATAGTTAAGTACACTGAAGAGGGAGTAGAAAAAATCTAAAATTGTCTTGAAATGAGTCAAATGTTAAAAGGGCAGCTATAGACATTATTCTCTAACAGGTAGGTGATAACTTTAGGCTATTTAAAAGCACATATACAAAAAAGGTATTTGCAAATTC